TACAAATAGCAAATAAGTCAATACTAAACTCTAGATAAATGCACTCTCGTTTGAGTACACCATCTTGGCAGCGCACAGCCAACGATGTCCTTGTGCATACAGTCCTTGGTATAGTCCTTCGCCATTGCACGCATGTGTACTCAGTGTAGCCGGTTGTAGTGCAGCCGCAAGCTGCACTGCCAGGCGCATGAGTGTCCTTGGGATGTGTCTTTGCAGACACTGGCTCGTAGATGGGGGCACCGGACACTGGCAGACTGCAATGCACTGGCGCTCGACACGCAGGTAAGTTTTATAGCTCACACTCCCACTTGATCTCGGCGACGCACTTGGAAGTCGACGCGATCACACACGCGCATCCTAGTTGCCGCCATAGTCCTAGTAGTAGCGTAGTCGCAGCTCAAAGGCAATAGCAGTCCACTCAGTAACAGTACTCCCACTCGATCGCCCTCGTCTTCATCAATGTCGCTCAGGTACAGCCTCCGCATCAACAGCAGTAGTCAACGCAGTAGCAGTAGTCGTAGTTGTAGCCATGTCCTCGGATACGTTGTCATCGCTCGACACAATAGGTAAGACTTTCATAGCCTTGCGAAAGTGTGTGAACTTCACCACTGCAAGTGCCTTTGTCATTATATCGGCCACCATATCATCAGTTCCGATGTGTTGGGTTGTAAGTTGCTTCAACTCCACATGGCGTCTGATCATGTGGTACTTGTTATCGATATGTTTCGATTTCGAATGTTTGCCAGGTTTCGCAGTTAGGGCAATGGCTCCTTGATTGTCTCCCAGTAGTTGAGGTACTGGATGCTTCCAGCTCAACTCTTTGCATAGGCCAGCAAGCCACAACAAGTCCTTGGTCGCCTCTGCCATTGCTACGTACTCAGCTTCACAGGTACTAAGCGCGTTGATCTCTTGCTTGCGAGATGCGTAGGAGATGACGTTGTCGTCCAGCATAGTGATGTAGCCACTGATACTCCGTCGATCCACAGGGTCGTTCGCATAATCAGCATCAGAGTAGCGACTAACTTGCACATCAGTCTGTAGCTTCACATTCATCACTAGTCCGTAGTCACATGTAGCCTTCAGGTAACGCAGTACCCTCTTGGCTTGTGCGAAATGCATATGATCATAGCTCGCAAGATACTTGCCCAGGTGTCGGGTAGCATGAGCTATGTCAGGTCTCGATGCACTAACGAGGTACTGGAGAGCACCCACCAGTTCTCTGTAGGGAAGATACTCCTTCGAAGCAGGCACGTCTGTCTTCGAGGGCGTCGTAGCTTCTGGTGTAGCGCAGCCATTACAGTTCTCCATATGAAAACGCTTCAACACCTCCAGTACGTACTGCTTCTGGCAGTACACTATTTGCCGGCGCGGCCGGTCAATCAGGATCTCGACGCTAAGAGATATTTGACTGTGCCCATCGTCGTGAGCTCGAATGTCTCTTGCAGTGAGGCCAGGGATTTGTGGCACACAGGTCACGTGAACCCATCAGCAGTAGATCGTCCACGATATACAGTCAATAGCAACTTGACTTCACCATCCTTCCTCAATGCATATAGGCCGTAGTCAGAGTCCGTCCTAGTAAACCCCATCGCAACAAGCTTCGTATGAAGCGTGCGATTCCAAACGTTCGGTGCTTGCTTCAGTCCGTACAGGCTCTTCAACAATCTGCAAATGGACCCAGGTCCATCCACCTGGAAGCCAGGAGGCTGCTCCATGAAGATAGTCTCGTCCAAGTCTCCATACAGAAAAGCCGTCTTCACGTCAAATTGCAACACCTCCCAACCTCTTTGTACAGCGTAGTAGATAGCCGCACGTATGGTTTCGAACCGGATCACAGGTGCATAGGTCTCAGAGTAGTTAATCCCAAGTTGTTGTTTGAATCCATGGATCACTAGTCGCGCCTTGAAACGTTTGATTCGTCACGCTCATCTCGCTTCACAGCAAAGACCCACCTACACGTTATCACCTTCACTTTCTTGGCATCTTTGCGGGGTACAAGTTTCCAGGTCTTGTGACCCTTCAACGATTGAAGTTCCACCAACATTGCAGCTCTCCACTGCTGCCAGTACTTGCTTGCACGTGCTTGTTTGTACGTCGTCGGAATCTGCACATCCGTAGTCATAGCCTGCACTAGGCCTACCACGTAATCCGACAATCGAACGTTCGCCTTCTGCTTCCTTCTTGGTCGCTTTAGGCAGGGCTCTCTTGATGGAGATTGAATCTCGAAGCCACTTGTCTCCTTCTCCACCATTGCAGGTTTCTTCTTTGTTCTGCGTCTCTTGCGCTTCCTCACTTCCAAACCTTCCTCGGTTTCTTCAGTAGGATCCTGCAACACGGCTGGTGCTGCAACACCAGCAGTCTCCGCACTGTCCTTGCTCACAGGTGCGTCAACGATTGACAAACTTCCACTTGAACTTAACTCAGTTTCTGCAGGTTCGTCAGCAAGTGGTACCGCCTCAAGTGGCTTCTCCGCACTAGAGATGCCGTCACTCCAACCTGGAAGGTACGTCTCCATGTTGGTCTTGATGCGCGCCACAGGTACAGTCTCGCGTAGAGTATGATCACCATCAAAGAATGCGTTCTCTAATAGATGCTTCATGTAGATGCCATCGGTTGTGAACTCTTCATGGAACTTCACATTCCCACTACGAGCTGTCACCACTTGAGCTGTCACCAGGTCAATGAACTTGTAGCCTAGGGTCGATTCGCTATAACCCAGTAGTAAACACAGTCTTGCCCTTGCTTCCAGCTTTTCTTTCGCTTGTCTTGACTCAGGGGGAATACGCACGTGTGCCAGACAGCCCCAAGTACGCAAATCATCCAGCATGGGTTCCGATTCGTACAGTTTCTGGTGCGGGGACACCAATCCTAAAGGCTTGGTGGGTAGCCAGTTTAACGTCGTCACCACATGCAGGAAGACTTCTCCCCACAAGGAGTTGGGCATGTGTGTAGCCATCAGCATCGCTCTGATTCTTGGTAGAACCACACCATTAGCACGCTCCACAATGCCGTTCTCTTGAGGAGAATAGGCGTTCGTAAACTGCTGCTCAATCCCTTGGTCGACGCAGTAGTCACTTAGCTCCTTGCTTGCAAATTCACCTCCTTGGTCAGAGTGTAGTCGTCGCACCTTCTTCTCAGGAAAACGAGTTCGCAGCCTGTTCAGTAGGACCTTGATGTGAAACGTTGCTTCACTCTTCTTCTTGAGTAGGAACGGCCACTTGTACCTTGTAGACTCATCTATGATAAAGAGAAACATTGTAGCTCCATCCACAGACTGTTCGTTCACAGAGCAAATGTCCATCATGAGAGTCTCCAGAGGTTCGGACTTCCGCGATGGAATCCGTTTATAAGACATTCGTTTTGCCTTACTGGCAGCACAAGCAACGCACTCGTAGGAAGTCAGACCTTTTGCATTCATCTTAACTCCAACATCGAGTTTGTTTGCCAACACTTTCACCGTCTCCATGCTCATATGACCAAATCGTTGGTGAAGCAGCTCCATGGCTTTCTTGCTGTCCATGTCCTCTTTTAGAGCCGCCATCACCATTACTCCAGTCACTTTTTCTGCACGTAGTCGGTAGATACTGTCACGCATCATGAACTTGAGTGATGTGCTTGGCTTGGAGATCCAAGCAGTCTGTTGGTCCTCTGAGCATGTCAACTTGAAGTTGCCCTTCGTTTGTAGGTAGCCCAAACTAATGATGTTCACCTTCGCGTTCGGTGTGTACACCACGTCGTCCAGGAGACGGTCCTCGAGCTGGCCAGTTGCCTGGTTAACAACACGCAATAGCACAGACCCACAAACAGAAGTGTGTTCAGTTGTGCCATTCGCAAAGTCAAGTCGACTAGCTTGGTCCTCCCTTATGGTAGTAAACAATGACAGGTCACCACAGACATTTGCCTGGGATCCTGAATCAAGTATCCACTCCACAAACTCAGACTGAGCTGATTGCATACCTTGGTTCTGGTTCACAGCGTTGACTTGACGAGAGTTGGGTGGTCTGTTCTCACGACGGTCTTCAAATCGACGCGGAGACATGTTCCGCCCTTGGAAATTGTCACGTCGAGGTGAAGGTCCTCGTCCTCTCGAAGGATTGTCACGCCACTGCTGCTGCGGAGACGACGGTCCATAGCGACTCAGTCGATCATCA